GGAACATTTGCTTACCAAAAAGAGAGAGGGGAAATTGGGCAAAAGTGCATTAAGAATGTGTTAGAAGAAACTTGCACTAAAATGCTGATTGATTTTCATAAGGACTCTCTCTCTTCTCTCTCTGCAAACTGATGCAGAAAATTGCAGAACCAAACTTAAAATTTTTTTGGAGGGGGGGGAGGAAGAGAGAAATAAAAATGGACAGATTTGCTCATGCCTCTTTTGCAGCACAATCGTAATCCTGTTAGGAGGCTCTCTTTGCTCATTAGAGGCAATAAAGGGTTGTGCGTGAAAGTTTTAAATATAAATAGCGGTCTTGAGGGTGTAGTTAAACATGATGGAATTTGCCCCCCAAAGGAAGCAGTTATGGCTGCCATCTTGGATGGCGTTGAAAGAGGATTGGCCAAATTCCTAGAGGTAAAGGCTTATCAAAGGCTAAGAGCCACCATAGCTACGTTCTGTCTCCACTGTCAGAGGCAGCATGGCTCTGAATATGACCCAGAGTCCCAAGTGGGGAGTGGGGTCTTGTGTTGGGGTCCCACTTGTGGGTTTCCTGCAGGCATCTGGGCAGCCACTGTGAGACCAGGCTAGATGGGCCCGATCTAGCACACTCCTCTTCTTGTACCCAGCCAGCAAGGACAACGGTCAGGGATAACGGGAGTTGTAACACAACAACATTTAGAGGGGCTCCAGCTTGGGGGAGCTGGCACTGCACAAATGGTTTGCAGGATGTGCAAAATGGGCCATCGCCGCCCAAGCAGCAAAGCACCACACCAGCCCTTCAAGAAGCAAACATTGATCCTTCCATGAAACAGTTTTCTCCACTTTTGTCCTTGGGCTTTATCTTACGAATGCTGGAACTAATGTACCTCTCCCCCACCCCAGTGATTTACCTGGGCCCTCAGTTTAGCTGCTTCTTTCCATTTAACACACAGGATAAAAATCTAGCAGACACCCATTTAAGAAAGGCCACCATTGTTTGTCAATTGCAGGCACTGCCAGTAAGTGGCTTCCACTCATAGCCTTGAGCAGATTCTCTTCATAATACCCAGACAGCACAGAGGCAAGAAATGCCATTTATCTTCTTGGTAGGTACTGGAGATTGTTTTCATATTTTCACAGCATTCTTTGGAAAAGGGAGGGATGTCCCTTCTTCTGTTTTAGCACAAAACCTGTTTTGGCAATGAAAGCACACTATCGCTTTCATTACGTTATTAATCTGAAACGATCGCACTGCCCTCAAAAATGGTAGAGTTAGAAAAGGTTCAGGAAAAAAAAGAGCAACCAAAATGGCCATAGGGATGGAACGAGGAGACTTCTTAGAGAAAAGGCGAGAAGGAGGTGCATAAATTCATAAAAATCATTCATGGCAAGGAGACAGTGGAGAACATATTTTCTCCCTCTCTTGTAGCACTGGGCACCCAATGAAGCTGAACATTGAGAGGTCAGGATAGATAAAAGTTGAACTATGGAATTGTTGTTGTATAGTCGTTCAGTCGTGTCCGAGTCTTCGTGACCCCCTGGACCAGAGCACGCCAGGCACTCCTGTCTTCCACTGCCTCACGCAGTTTGGTCAGACTCATGTTTGTAGCTTCAAGAACACTATCAAACCATCTCTACTCCTCTGTCGTCCCCTTCTCCTTGTGCCCTCCATCTTTCCCAACATCAGGGTCTTTCCCAGGGAGTCTTCTCTTCTCATGAGGTGGCCAAAGTATTGGAGCCTCAGCTTCACGATCTGTCCTTCCAGTGAGCACTCAGGGCTGATTTCCTTAAGAATGGAGAGGTTTGATCTTCTTGCAGTCCATGGGACTCTCAAGAGTCTCCTCCAGCACCAAACTATGGAATTAGCACCCACAACAGACAGGTATAGCCACCAACTTCAATGGCTTCAAAAGAGGATCAGACAATTTCATGGAGGTATAGACTATCAATGGCTACTAAGCATGATGGCTATGCTCAGTCTCCACTGTTGCAAGGCAGTCATGCTTCTGAATACCAATTGCTGGAAGCCATAGGAGGGGAGAGTGCTGTGAGTTCAGATCCTGCTTGTGGGCTTTCCCCCACCCCCAAGGCATTTGGTAGGCCACTGCAAGACCAGGATGTAGGACTAGATGGGCCAATGGCTTGATCCAGCAGCCTCTTCTCATGTTTTCACGCATTCTTTAAATAACTGAAGGGCCATCACATCAACTTCCTGCAAGACTTGTTGTCTGCTGCCCCAGAGGGCAGAACTAGCACAAAGAGGCTCAAGTCACAGAAGGGTTAACTTCCTAACAGCAAAAGCAGTTTGACAATTGGTGCCAACAGGAACACCAGGCTGTACCCAATGCTGTGCTTCTTATAGAGTAGACCAATTAGGCCCATCTGCGCTACAAAGTTATAGCAGTGTCGCAGCCAAAGAATCCTGGGAAGTGTAGTTTGTTAAAGATGTGAGTCATCCCTCTTTCCCCTCACAGAGCTATAATTCCCAGAACAGCTCAATAATCAACCCCACTTCCCAGAGAACTACGGACACTGTAGCTCTGTGAGGGGAGTGGGGTCTCCTTCAGCGCTCTTTTTCAAAATTAAAATATATTTTTCATTTTCACATTTTACAAGCATTTTTAACGAGAAAAACAAAATCTTTACAAATTTAATTTGCATTTCCCTCAACTCCCCTCCCCTCCTTTCTGCAGTTATTTAGTTTATATATTTTTATTACTGTATATCCAATTCAAACCTATTTACCAATTTTCCTTTATCTTCCCCTTTAATTATCTCTTGCTGCATGTGTTTATATCAATGCTGCTAACATTTTAATTTATTTACAATGTATCTTCAAATATAATCAATTATTTCCCCTTATTGTGTTTTTAAAGAATCTCTCATCTTGATTTCTAATTCTTCCAGTAAGTTTTGCCAATTCTGCGTACTCCATCAATTAAAACTGCCAGTCCTGTTTTGTTGGGACTGTTTCTTCTTTCCATCTTTGTGTGTAAATCATCTGGGAAGCCGTGGTAGCATACATAAAGTTTTTTTCCTGTTCATCACGTACCTCTCCGCCAATTATACCTAGAAGAAAAACTTCTGGTTTTTTCACAAAAGTGATCGTCAACATTCCCCCCCACCCCCCAACTCATTATAAATCATTTCACAGAAAGCTTTTGCTAACTCACATGACAGTTCTCAGCATTCTTAACCAATTATGCTTCCCACGATTCTTTGGGGTGAAGTCAAAGTGATATGATACTGCTTTAAATGTATGGTGCAGAAGGAACCTTAGGTCCATTCATTTTAGGAGTTCTTACCACTGAATAAAGCTGAGTTGACTATACAGCGATACCTCAGGTTAAGAACTTAATTCATTCTGGAGGTTCGTTCTTAACCTGAAACTGTTCTCAACCTGAGGTACCACTTTGGCTAATGGGGCCTCCCGCTGCCGCCGCGTGATTTCTGTTCTCATCCTGAAGCAAAGTTCTTAACCCGAGGTACTATTTCTGGGTTAGCGGAGTCTGTAACCTGAAGCGTCTATAACCCGAGGTACCACTGTATTTATTTATTGGCCGCTGTATAAGCCAAGCTATATTTGTGGCCATCTTGCAGGGATTAAATGGAACAAAATTTACAGTAAATCAGTATAATGCAGTTTATACACAGTATAATACGCCTCGTAAAATAAGGTACAGTGGTACCTCGGGTTATGAACTTAATTCGTTCCGGCGGTCCATTCTTAACCTGAAACTGTTCTTGACTTGAGGTACCACTTTAGCTAATGGGGCCTCCCGTTGCCGCTGCCATGCAATTTCTGTTGTCATCCTGATGTAAAGTTCTTAACCCAAAGTACTATATCTGGGTTAGCAGAGTCTGTAACCTGAAGCGTCTGTAACCCAAGGTACCACAGTAACCTGAAGAAAAATAGGAAGCTGCTTTTTATGGAACCAGGCCATTAGCAGTGTAGTTATCAGCTACACTGATCGCAGTGGCTCTCCAGGGTTTCAGAGAGGGGTCTCTCCCAGCCTTCCTTGGCAGTTGCTGGGGTTTGAAGCTGGGACCCTCTGCGTGCAAAGCAGACCCTGCATCACTACAGCCTGTCCCAAGAACACTTTGACAGTGGTACCAGGTGGCCCCAAAGGTGGCAATGGACTCTCCCTGGTTGGAGGCCATCTGTCAAGGATGCTCTTCTGCCTCTGGTGTTCCTGCATTGAGCAGAGGGTTAGACTATCTGACAACCCTCTCCAACTCCATGGTTCTCTGGCAATCTTAGTAAGGGCTGTTGAGATTATCGTGGTTGGTGGGAAAAGTGCATTGGAATACTGGTTGCTGGAAACTGCAGGAGGGGAGGGGGACAAGCTTGGTTGGCCACTGTGAGGACAGGATGCTGGACTAGATGGGCCATTGGCCTGATCCAGCCTGGTCCTACTTAAGGCGTTCTTAGGGTTAACCCGGACAGCATCAGCTGAGGTGCCAGAGTGGGTGGGACAAGGAAGACATCCTGCCTCTCTTGCGAAGGCAGCTTCAAGTTGCAAAGGAAAGGGCAATGTGTGGCTTGTAGGTTTCAGTTAGGGTCCTTCCTGTCTCCCCACCCCACGCAGAATTCGAACGCAGGATCACCTTCAAATCAAAGGGTATGCCGTTCCTCAAACAAACTCTTCAAAACAATCACACATACACACACACACCCCATTCAAAGTCATGCATATCGTGGCCACATTTCAGCAGACAATTAGTTACATTTCTGCGCATTACAGCCTTAAGTGTGCCTCACTTTGCCCTGGATTGGGGCTTGTATTTCTCATTGCTTCATTTACCAATGTACTAGAACACACTGCATTTTCTTTCTGTTTTTAAGACAGCAACAACAACAAATCTCAAAACAGGCACATGCATTTCTGAAAGGGGCAACAGAGTTCCTTTTTACTGATTTAATTCTGTGTTGCCAAAAGATTGAGGTCTAGGACAAAAGGGCAGCCAAATATTCTCACTTCTGATGAGAAATATTTTCATAACTGAAACTGAAAGAGACGGAGAGGAGGGCTGGATTCAGGAATGAAATGATCAGAAACAATCTGATTGGAAAACAAATTATTTATTTACATGCCTATCCTAGAGGCCTTTCATGTGGATGCAAGTCCCAGTGAACAATTTCAGCACACCTTCTTTCTAAGCAAATGCACTTAAGATCCTAGGAAGCATTTCTCTCAAATAATAATAATTTATTATTTATACCAATTGTAAGAAGAGAAGCTGAACCCAATGCACAGTGCAATGAGTTCTGTGCTGGACAGAACCAGGGCTGGTGGGCTGAATCTTTCGCAAAGCAAGTACTGGGAGCTTGTAGTCCAAATTTGAATATCCAAGGGATATTTCCTTCCCCACACTAACAGCACACACATGTCCTCAGAAGGAAAACTCACTGAGTTCACTGGAACCAACTGGGTGGGGACAGCATCGCACCAGTCCGATCCCTTTACTTGGGAGTAAGCCCTATTAAACTCAGTGAGATTTACTGCTGAGTAGATAAGTGTACAAGATTGCACTGTAAATCTTCTACTTGGCAACAGCTTCTTCCAAGGAGCACTTCATATCAAGATAGGATCTGAAATGTACAATATGTACCACAGCAGATTTGCTCCTTTCTATAGGAGAAGGTTAGGATTCTCTTTCTCTTCATCACAATGTCTCCTGTTGGGTTTCTGATTTTTCTTCTATTAGGTCTTTAAATCCCAATTTTGCCAGTGGTTCTTTGGCCATAAGTTGTCTAAACAAACAAGCAAACAAAAAACAATTTGAAAAGCATTAAACTTGAAATTGGCATGCTTAGCAATTTCATTTTCTGAATAATTTTGTGCTCCTTAAAATAAAATAAAAAAATAAACCCAGAAGATTCACATGATTCTACAGGACTGCAGAGGAACCCCTGGCAAAGAATGTGTATTCTTAAGGGTGTTGGTTTGCTTTCTTTTAAAGGTAGGTTCCTGGCTTATGGATATAAAAATATGCTTGAAAATGTGTGGGCAGTGGTTGCTTAAGAATGCACAGAAGCTCACAAAAGGGGTAGGGGCTAGAGAATTTGAATTGCCAAGGTCGTCAGTTTCCCTTTTAAAAACAGGTTTCTAGTCCATTGGACCACTCAGCCACCCTAGAAACACAGGGACATAGGAAGCTACTTTATACAAAGTCAAAGCAAAAACTACAAAGTGATTTAACAATCAACTGTTCTTCTCAGGAAACTGTAGATCTGGGAGGGAAACGGGGGTCTCCTAAAAACTCTCAAAACCCTTAACTACAGTTCCCATGATTCCTTGGGGAAAGCAGTGACTGTTAAAGGGGTACAACAGTGCTTTAAATGTATGGGGTGGATGTGGACTCATTGTCAGCAAAAGAAGAAGAGGAGGAGGAGGAGGAGAAAAGAAAAGAGGGCAAGGGGAATTAAGTACTGTAATTTTACAGATTTCAAAAATGAAGCAGTGGTTTGCGGAGCCAAAAATCCACCGTGCACTGACAGCCCAGCATAAGTTGTCTCTGGCAAATTGAGAGCAAACATCCATTAGCTTAAGTGAAGTGTTGCAAATAAGAATGCACTTGCCTCTCCATTCTGCATTCTAAATATTCCTTTGATTCCTGCCTGCACAATGCATTCTCAAAGCTGTTCTCCCTCAGACACTTCATGAATTTTTCTTTGAAAGCTGTACATTCACCTGTTCAACAGAAGGAAAGCACGTTTTTTGAAACAGGAGGCATGAAAAGAAACAGACATGGAATTAAGAGTAAGACAAAACAATAGCGCTATTCAAAGGACAGGCTGTCTGCTGTGGCTCAGCACGAGAACGTAATGCAGTAGGCGGGGACACACATTGAAACCACCAAGGTGCCAGCAAACCTTCAGGTCACTAAGGTCCAAGAAAAAATAGTTTCAAAGGGGGAATTCAGTGTGAAGTTGCTGATTTAGAATTCATTAGCAGTTCTCAGGATTCTTTGGGGGAAGCCATGACTATTTAAGTGGTGTGATGCTGCTTTAGATCTATAGTGGCATTGGCTCAATCTAGCAGGCTGTTCTTATGCTATTGCTTTATATGTACAGTGCAGATGATGCCTTACAGAGGGGGAGAATTACAAATGCCACCTTGAGCTCCTTACCCCCCCCCCAAGGGAGATAGATATATATTTTTGTATGTTTTAAAATAGGCTTGTGATTTTTTTCTTGATTCTATTTTTGTAGACCGCTTTGAGGTTTGTCTATTTTATACAGTGGTACCTCAGGTTAAGAACTTAATTCGTTTTGGAGGTCTGTTCTTAACCTGAGGTACCACTTTAGCAAATGGGGCCTCCCGCTGCTGCCGCGCCACCAGAGCTCGATTTCTGTTCTCAACCTGAAGCAAAGTTCTTAACCCGAGGTACTATTTCTGGGTTAGCGGAGTCTGTAACCTGAAGCGTATTTAACTTGAAGCGTATGTAACCCGAGGTACCACTGTACAATCAAATGGTGCATAAATTTTACAAAATAAGATAAATAAATAAAATGCAATAGAAATAAATAAAGAATGAATGAATGAATGTTCTGCTGCCTCTCTTACTGGTCCCAGTGTCAATTCTTGTGCTGGAGGTGGAGCTTTAAAAAACATTGATTTGCAGCCCTCCTCTTCCATTTTTATGGCGGAAAATGCGCCCCCAGGTGTTGTGGGACTCCAACTCCCATCAGCCCTAGCCAGCACGGCCCCCACCAAGGATGATGGAAGTTATAGTCCATCAGCAACACGATAGTCAAAAGTTCCCCTCCCCTCCCCTAGGGGGCCCATGACAGAGGTTCGGCTAACGGAAAGCTATCGTTTCTATGGGCTCACAGCGGTACCGCTCTATCCCTTGCGCATCTATGGCAAGCGCCCTTATTGACTGTACTTGGGAGTTCGCTTTTAGGCCGGAAATGCCTGCCGTACTTTCTATCCCCCATCCAACGTCCTCTCTATGGTCGGTGGACGAATCGCACATGCGCAATCGAGGGGATGGACGGTTGCGGGGGGGGCGGGGCGGAACCTTCTCACCGAAATGATCCAGAGGGAAAGCGCCTTTGTCCGGCGGTCTCGGCTTGAAGCTTTTCGTCCCGAAGTTCATAGCCGTAGACATGACGACGACTCTCCGAGGACGCGACGCAGCCGCTGCGCCTCTGACCGAACCTTCGCCTCACTTCCGGGATCTCCGTGTTGTCAAGTCCCAGGTTGTGGAGTGGAGCGCCGAGCCAGGCCAGAAGAAACGAGAGCAGAGCTGATCGGGCGGGGAGGAGCCGATCAGTTAGCCCCGCCTCCTTCAGCCCCAGGTGGATGCCTGGCCGGGATGGAGCTGGCATTTTTAAATCTTATTTTATTTATTGATAAATAAATAAATATGTCCTTTGCAGAAAGCAAAGGAGCCTTGCGATATTTCAGAGACTAACCAGTCTTAATTGCGCCTTCAGATTGAAACTTGAAGATGTGATTTCTTCAATTCCAGGAAATCTATACCGCTTTTCTGTGTAATTCTTTAGAAAATAAATAAATAAATCTCCAAGCGGTTTGCAATCTACCTACATCAAAACATCAGATAAGACGATCCACAATAAAACATTACTGAAGAAAGTCAAATATAAAACTTGCATTCAAAGTAACACAATCAACAAGAAACTAAAACATTGCAGTGGTACCTCAGGTTAAGAACTTAATTCGTTCTGGAGGTCTGTTCTTATTTTTTTTTTATATAAATAATTTTTATTTAAGTTTAAACAACAAAGAAAGAAAAGAAAAACATACACAATACATATCTCAAAAAAGGAAAAAAAAAGATAACAAGAACACACAAAAAAGAACACAATTCAACAATAAAAAACAAAAAACATAACAATTAAAAACAATATCTCTTTTCCATTTCCGTTTTTTTAGTTTGCTTATTTTCTGGACTTCCTCATACCTCCCTCTTTTGTATTCCAATCCAAATTGTTTGTCCAGCAATTTCTTTTCAACTTTTTTAATCCCAATCTTTAACTTTAATATAATATTGTAATATATATCTTCAATTTCTTTAAACCTGATCTTTAATCTTAGTGTAATATAACATTAAAATTTTCCCTCTTAATTGTCAGATTTCCATTTCTTTAAACATCTTTAATCCTAATCTTAATCTATCATTAACTTTAACCTGTACAGCTGGAAACCGCTTATTTTCAGTCCAGCATCACTCTAACATTCTTTAATTTTACAATGTTTCTGAAGATAGTCTTTGAATTTCTTCCAATCTTCCTCCACCGACTCTTCTCCCTGGTCACGGATTCTACCAGTCATTTCCGCCAGTTCCATATAGTCCATAAATTTCATCTGCCATTCCTCCAGCGTGGGAAGTTCTTGTGTCTTCCAATATTTTGCGATGAGTATTCTTGCTGCTGTTGTTGCATACATAAAGAAAGTTCTATCCTTTTTTAACACCATTTGGCCGACTATGCCCAGGAGAAAGGCCTCTGGTTTCTTAGGGAAGGTATACTTAAATACCTTTTTTAATTAATTATATATCATTTCCCAGAAAACCTTAATCTTTGGGCACGCCCACCAAAGGTGAAAAAATGTACCTTCAGTTTCTTTACATTTCCAACATTTGTTATCGGGCAAGTGATAATTTTTTGCAAGCTTGACTGGGGTTATGTACCACCTGTATATCATTTTCATAATATTTTCTCTTAAGGCATTACATGCCGTAAATTTCATACCTGTGGTCCACAACTGTTCCCAGTCAGCAAACATAATGTTATGTCCAATGTCCTGTGCCCATTTAATCATAGCCGATTTTACCGTTTCATCCTGAGTGTTCCATTTCAGCAGCAAGTTATACATTCTTGACAAATTCTTAGTTTTGGGTTCTAACAGTTCTGTTTCTAATTTTGATCTTTCCACCTGGAATGTTCTGGAGGTCTGTTCTTAACCTGAAACAGTTCTTAACCTGAAGCACCACTTTAGCTAATGGGGGCTGCCGGTGCACCGCCGGAGCATGATTTCTGTTCTCATCCTGAAGCAAAGTTCTTAACCCGAGGTAATATTTCTGGGTTAGCAGAGTCTGTAACCTGAAGCGTATTTAACCTGAAGTGTATGTAACTCGAGGTACCACTGTATCTTAAAGGAGGTCAGCTACACAGTGCGCATTTACAGCAGCAAAGTTAACAACAAGAAAACATTATCTTAAACGTTTCAGAAGAAAGCATGCCCTAATTGTGCTTCAGCTAGTTCCAGTCCTTCAGCTGGGATACTTGTTCAAGCAGAAGGTGGCTTTCTTCAGAATATAGATTTAAGTGTTAGCAGCTTAAAACAAAGGCAGTTCTCCCCTGTTGCATTTCAAGTCGCATTTGCACGCTGCTGTACACGCCAGAAAGGGGGCGGAGCAGACCCTCCAAGTGCCCCTATTTTCCAGGGATGTCCCTGATTTACAGAATCCGCCCCGGTTTCTGCTTTGATCCCAGAATGTCCCACTTTTCCTTAGAATGTCTCTATTTTCACTGGAGAAATGTTGGAGAGTATGGAGGTAACTGACCCCCGAGCCATCTGAAGGCAATCCTCTATAGGGAGGTGTTGGGTTTTTTAAAATGTTTAATGTTTTATTGCTTTTGAATTGACCTTGCTTTTGAATTATGGTGCTGGAGGAGACTCTTGAAAATCCCATGGACTGCAAGAAGATCAAACGTTTCCATTCTTAAGAAAATCAGCCCTGAGTGCTCACTGGAAGGACAGATCGTGAAGCTGAGGCTCCAATACTTTGGCCACCTCATGAGAAGAGAAGACTCCCTGGAAAAGACCCTGATGCTGGGAAAGATGGAGGGCACAAGGAGAAGGGGACGACAGAAGACGAGATGGTTGGACAGTGTTCTCGAAGCTACCAGCATGAGTCTGACCAAACTGCGGGAGGCAGTGGAAGACAGGAGTGCCTGGCGTGCTCTGGTCCATGGGGTCACGAAGAGTCTGACATGACTAAATGACTAAACAACAACAACAACAACAACGTTTTATTATGTGTTGGAAGCTGTCCAGAGTGGCTGGGGTAACACAGTCAGATGTGTGGGGTGTAAATAGCAAAATGATCATTATGGAATGGGACATCCCTATTTTCAATGGAAGAAATGTTGGAGGGTTTGTTGGAGGTGTCTTCACCTAATAAGCATTGCCTGTTTGATTTCCCTGTGGCTTCATTACCCCACACAACTTCTTTTTAGTGAAACTCTCACCTGTGCATGTGCCATCATCTGTGCATGCACAATGGCTAGCTCAAATGTATGCACCTGAGGTTAATTGCAAAATGAGTGTGGTTTGCGTGTTCAAATCGGATGGGAGCTGGTTTAAGAGACAATGCATCCAACAGCAGTTTTTCTCAAGAAACTACAGAACAGATATGGATGTGGCTAACATCCTATGTGCACTGCTTCAAACACCAGCAGTGGGAGCACGTTGGAGCCAGATGACTTGGTAATGCCTTTCACTGGCTCTACTTTTGACCTCTCTCTGCCTTCTGTCCTTTCTGTCTCAAGGGGCACCAGACACCACTGGTTGTTGTGAGACACTGGTTGCCTGTAGCTCCTGGGAACCAGGGTTGAATATACATGGGATAAAACAGTTGCAGAAAAGCAGGTGTTTCGGCAGCTTTCCCTGCGAAGGTGTGAAATGCCATAACATCACCTGGGCATGCCTTTACTTTGTTCTGTTCATTGCATAATAAGCCCTGCGGTTGGTATACTCATATGGGAACTGTATTTGGTGATTTATTACCACTGGCGTTTTGAACAAAATGTTCTTCCAAGAAAAACTTAGTTCTGATTTGACTGGGTTTTTAAAAAAGAAAAAGAAAAGATGGCCCAAGTTACTTAACAGACTGAAGAGTTCAGTGCCATGCAGTCCTGCGCATGTTTACTTCTGAGTCAGCCCCCACTGTGTGTAGTGGAGCTTCATTTTCACAAACATGTGCACAGGATCCTTTTGCCCCATCTAAATTCTTAAGATCAACCCTACAAGTACCTAAACACGTCTCCAATGCTACCATACATCTCGAAGCCGGATTCGTAAGAATCGAGGCCAGAGTATGGCTTGCCACACTGAATTATTGGCTGAGACTATCCTTCTTCCCACATGGTCTTGCTCCCTTAACTATTAAGGATGGTTTCCAAACAACAGGGAAATGTGTTACATACAGTGGTACCTCGCAAGACGAATGCCTCGCAAGACGGAAAACTCGCAAAACGAAAGGGTTTTTGGTTTTTTGAGTTGCTTCGCAAGACGATTTTCCCTATGGGCTTGCTTCGCAAGACGGAAACGTATTGCAAGTTTGTTTCCTTTTTCTTAAAACCGTTAATACAGTTGCGACTTGACTTCGAGGAGCAACTCCTAGCACGCGGTGTGGTAGCCTTTTTTGAGGTTTTTGTAGACTTTGGTGATTTTTGAAGCTTTTCCGACACCGTGCTTCGCAAGGCGAAAAAAACCGCAAGACGAAAAAACTCGCGGAACGAATTAATTTCGTCTTGCGAGGCACCACTGTACTCAGTTGCTAGTTTTATGTGTTTTAAGTTTTATGTGTTCAGTTTATCTGTATGTTTTATCTTATGCTGGCCTGGGACCGAAATAAAGTTTGATACTGATACTACCTCATTTTAACTTGCTGGGATCTGTTGCAGGATGAGCTGCAGCCAGCTGCATTACTGACACATTTCAGTTACAAGAAAGCCTGATAATTTATAGGCATATCCATGAGCTTCTTTCTTTTTCTTAATAGAGTCATACCTCGGGTTGAAGTTGCTTCAGGTTGAGCACTTTCGGGTTGCTCTTTCATAGTTTATTAGCAGCCAGTCTTATGTTGTATCAACTTGTTTCTTTGAAGTGTGTAATATTGTTTTGATAGCTGTAATATTTATTTATTTCACCTCATGTTTCCTGAAATTTAATATATATGTTAAGGACCTTGCTCCCATACGTTATGCGCAGCAGCAGAAAGTAGATCCAAACTTGGGGTATATGGGTGGGGCAAAGTGAACATGCCTGTTCCGCGGTGATTGTAAACTTAGTAGACATCAGATCCATCAAAAGATGGTCAGTAAGAGATCTCAATGAGCAGGGAAGTACTTAGATGCTCTCTCGCGCGTCCAGATCATAAGGTAATCCTTGCAAAAATATCACTGCCGCTCAAGGCGACCTGTTGTTTGTGGTCCTTAATCCTTTCCCACTCTAGAATTTGAAACTGTAAATGGAAAAGTACACCCAGTTTAGTTACATAACCATCGGATTAGGCATCTTGAAATCTG